AAGCAATTTTGGATTAGAGATGGTTTAGACTCTTTTTGTGACAGTATGACTTTTTCTTTGCATGGCAGAGCTGCGTTCTCTCTGTGCTCAATTTTATTTTTTTTTTTAACCTGAGTCTTCAGATGAATGGCAAATCATGTAGTGTGCTGTGTATGAAATAATGACAGGATTTGGAATTGGGTTTGAGACGTGGCCAATTACATTCAAACTTCCTTAAGGAAAGGAGAGGTTGGAAGCAATTTCAGTTAATACTGATTATCTCCTTAGCCAGTAAAGTTGCTGTCTTGTTGTAGACAAAGCTGTGACCATTAAGACAATTGCATTGTATAGTTTAAATGCATTTATATAGAGAAAAGGCTTTTAACAATAGCAGTGGTTGTGTGTTTCTTTAAAATAAACAAAAAAGCCCCCAAAATCCACATCAATAGAAAAGCAGTAATTGCAAGAGTTCTTGTTTCCTGCATTTTGGATACTAGAACGTAGCTGAATCATTTCACTTTATTCTGCTTTTAGACTAACATGGATGATGTTTTTTTAAAAGTGTAGAAAAATATTTCTTAAAGTAAGGATTAATAAATGTTGTGAAATTAAAATAATTTTAATACTTCTCAGTTTGCATATGAATATTTGAAAATTGCCGTTAAAATTGTAGACTGTGTAGTACAAATCAGTTCAATGCTGTCACTCCAGTATTGCCTAAGAACTGTACTAGGGTTTGAATAGGAGACATTTTGGAAAGCAAAATATAAGCATCCTATGGCCTGAATAGCTCTTTAAGAATTGGTGGAAAAACTGTACTAGATGCTTCTAAGGACTTAGAGAAAGAGGACAAATGTCTTGATGAAAACCAGTACTTCTGTTTCTATGTAATGTGCAACTGCAAGCTAAAGGGATTTTTGTCTAGGAGAATGAAGATCAGCTGAACAGTGGCAACCTGCTTTGCAAACTAAAAATAGAATTGAGTGGATCCTTTACATTTCAGTTAGTAAAGTGTATCTATTTTAAAAAAACTTAATCCATTTTATTGTCTCACACCAACAACTTTACAGGCACAACTGTCTTTAAAAGCACTTGGAAATAAAGTTAACAACGTGTAACTAGTTTTCAGGATGTAAAATGCACCTTTTTTTCCCTACCTAAATTTTCAGGACTTTTGAAAAGCTTTGCATAAGGGCCAACTTTGGTCCTTTCTGTCCAAGTTACAATCCACTCTTGACTCTAACAGTATCAGTAGGGATGCTCAGCAATTACCAAGGGTAGACATTAGGAAAATGTGTAATTTTTTTTGTTAAAGAAAGTAAAATCTTTTTTTCCTCTTAACGTTCATCGCTATCCTTGATATGCAATTGTATGTGAAATAGAAAAAGCGTCTCCGCTTCTACACTTCTGTATGAGTTCAAGTGTACCAGTCTGAACCACATTCTCTTGTGTTTTTATTTCCTCCTTTTTGACTTTACGCTGTTAGGAGGGATGGTGTTCAGAAGGAAGAACTGAGGCAAAAGTTTTAATACAAGTGTATTCTAAAATGAATAGGTTCACAATCTACAAAAGCTGTGATTTTCTAGGGTGTTTATATTGTGAAATATAAATGGTGGTAATGTTTTTTTGTCTAGGTATTGTTGGCCATAGTATGTGTTTTGTGTTGATTGCCAGCATTTTTTTTCTCAGTTTTTTTTTTTTATAGAAGTAAAATGTTTCTGTATAACAAGGTCCTCCTGGTTCTATCTTTGATCCTTAGCATGCATTCAAAATGTGGCTGGAGTTTCGAGATGATGGTTAAAAGTCCTGTACAGGTATAAAAGAAATTTTATAAGTGAAATACCCTCTCTAAATCTAAAAAGCTTGCTAATAAATATTTGCAGGAATTAAGAATGACAGTGCTGACAAACTTCTTCATAACCCAACCACAATTCCAGCACTTTTACTAAAGCACTTCACAGATGCTAAACATCCAGCCTGGAAATCAGATGCTCCCACTTCACAGGCAGCAAAACTGTTGTGGAGGGATTGGTTTCGCTCCACTGCCTCTAGGGCATCTGTGGCAGTTGGAAGCAAAGCACGATTGTCCTTGACAGTCAAGGTGAATAGGAGAGGAACAGCCATACTGTGCCTGTTGTTTTACTGTTACACGTTGGGTTTACCTGCTGCTGGAAGTGTTGCACGGAGCTGAAGGTTTATGTTGTGACGCTGCCAAATAGGATGGCTCACAGGCTGTATCCTGGTTGTCAAATCCCCATGATGTTCCTGAGGTGACCCGTAACGGTGCTAACCCTTCTACTTGTTCAGACTGTTACAAGTTGATATAAAAAACAAAAGTAATTTAAAAAAAAATTACACCCTCGTTACTTTTGCTTCTTATTCCTCCTTTTCTGTTTACTGTATTTTATTTATAGGTGTTGATTTTAAAATCAAAACAGTAGAGCTAAGAGGAAAGAAAATTAGATTACAAATCTGGTAAGTAAAACAAACGTGCAACCAGCAGTATGTTTTAATTTTTATGTTCTAGCATGAATTAATATGCTTGTCTAATACTATTAACTGTTATAAGCTGGTTTAGCTCTTACCCTGCTCCTGCTCTCCTCTGTTCTTAAATGAAAGACTTATGCAAAACCAAATAGCTCTTAGATTTTTGTGAGGGTAAAGGAGGAGAAGGGGAGATAAATAGGATGTGAATGTAAATATCAATGTTAATGCATCACAGAGGTCTCAAGCCCCTTTTCCTAGACAAGAAATAGGAGTTCTACAGACAACAAAAGGTGATTCTGTTAAATAGACTCTAGAGAAAGTACGCTTTGTGGTTTTGTTTTCTGGACTGTTTAAAACTGACCTTCATTGTAGCAACAGTTATGAAACAACCGTGAAGTATTTTCTAAACTGTTTTTCTAAAACTTGGTATAGGCAATGCTGTTTCTTTGACACTGTATTAAATAACTTTAAAGTGAAGGGCACTAAGTAAGTTATATCCTTTCTGAATGATGCTGAGACATAAAACATTCCCATACAAATAAGGCTTTATACCTTAACTGGTACATACGTCCTACTAAAGAAAGCTCAAAGTCTGAGCTAAACTGTCCCTTTCTGGAGCAGGTTACGTGTTTTCCTGATAATGATTCTCTATGTCAGTGATAAATACAATTTTTATTGTTTAGAAATCATTTGGCTTAAGAGGTCCTTTGTTCTGCAGAGTAGTACAATACCTAAGCATGGTTATGAGAGAATAAACCAGCTATGATCTGTACATTAATCTTATACACTATTATGTAGAAGCTTAGCTTTGGTTTATTAACAGTGCGTGATGCATAATTGGCATTGTAGTTAAACTCTTAAAGCTGCTAACAATCCACAGAGGGGGGAAAAAGAGTTCTAAATATACTAGTTGTTACCCTTTTGGGATATTCTGGTGTTTTCTCATTCTTATCCACATGGATGCAGTGAATTCAGCTTACTAACTCCTCTTGGCAGGTCACCATCAACTCTGTTTGTCACACCATGTGTCTGTCTTGCTTCCCTCTGAGTTAACTGCTGCTTCATCTTTGGTATCATCAGTCACCTAACACTTGAATGTTATTGGCATGTCTTCATCCACCATCTGTCCCTGTTTGGAAACCTCTGACCACAAGGCTGGCAGTTGAGCCAACAATTGTTAGCCAGGGTCTGCTGGAGCTGACAGAGGTAACCAAAAATTCTGATATGGAGATGCTACTGTACGCCTGATAGGAATTCTTGCTATGAAATGTGCTAAGCTTACCAAACAATTTCTTCATGTTGAATACCTACTTTATAGGGGAGATGTTTTGTTGGAAAAGAGATGTTTTTAAACCATTATTTTCCACATATTGAGAATATGCTAGTAGGATGTAGGAAACTTTTTAAATTAAAAATTGATAGCTTGCTAAAGTGTGACCATTACTGCTATGTGAAGCCCTGCTAAAATGCTGGAGAAAACACAGTGTAAGGAGATAATATTTTAAAAATCCGTGAACACAATATCCTTAAGTATCACTTTCTCTCCAACAGTGGCTGTTAAAATGCTGTTCTTACACTTAATCATTGAAACTGTCTTGGCATACTTCTGGTTTCTTGGAAAATCAGTTAGATAAGCACTCCTTCTGCTTATTCATCCTGAATTTTTAGGTTTGGAAAAGACCCTTCAGATCATTGAGTCCAACTGTAAACCCAGTACTACCAAGTCCATCACTAAGCCATGTCCCTAAGAACCGCATCTATATGCCTTTTCAGTACCTCCAGGGATGGTGACTCAACCACTTCACTGGGCAGCCAGTTCCAATGCTTGAAAACCCTTTCAGTGAAGACATTTTTCCTAATGTCCAATCTAAACCTGCCTTGGCACAACTTGAAGCCATTTACTGTTGTCCTATCGCTTGTTACTTGGGAGAAGAGACAGAGCCCCACCTCGCTGCAGCCTCCTTTCAGGTAGTTATAGAACGCGATAAAGTCTCCCCTCAGCCTCGTTTTTGCCAGGCTGAGCAACCTCAGTTCCCTCGACTGCTCTTTATTGTGCTTTCAGTTGTTAGATTGAAAGAGGAAAGCAATTTATCAAGTCAAACATCTTAGAAGTTTAGAAGTACAGACTTAATTTGCGTGGCTGATCCTAAGTCAGTCTCCTTTAATACCTACGCAAAGACAGTATTAGGGTTGCTTTATACTTGCTGGTAGCCTTATGTACAATGATATATGGTAGCTTTACTAAAAAAAAAACCTGCTTTGTTTGGTGAACAGATCATTTTTGAAATTTATGCTTACGGATTTTTCTTAAAATGACTAAGGATATTTCAGAGCATAGAAGCTTGATTATCTCCATAGTCATTTAATGATTCTACTTCAAAAATTGAACAACAGCTTAAAAAAAACATTTAGCTTTGGTGTTTTCATGCTCACTTGACTGTCTCTCCACTGATACAGTGGTCAGTGGAGCGTTCTCCTCAGAGCTCTGCCACTTGAATTTATCAAAAAACACCAGTACTGCATTGGATATATGAAGCAATTCGGTGTGCAGGGCATCCTTTTAAAAGCAGCTTTCACACCTGCTGCTGATAGTAGATTGTTAGTATACCAGTTGGACTTGTCTCCTGGGTTCCTATCACAATGGGATACTGTGTGCTAAGGATCACAGAGATGTCTGCTCTTGCCTCTGGCTTACCCCTGTTCTTGTGGGATCCTTGCCACTTCGCGGTGCTTTTTCCCATATTTTCCTGACTTTCAGTAAGGAAACAACCTCTTCTCCTTGAATTGCAAAATTCAAAATGGTAGAGCAGCACTGAGGACACGGAGCAGTGCCCATCTTCTCTGTGTCACCTGGAACAGTAGTAATAGTCCCTTGGGCTACCGGAAGTAGTGGACAGAGTGAATCTGCTTCTGTATTGCAGTTCTTGGCTGAAAGAAGCTCCCCAGTTCCATGAGAACGCACGCGTGCAGCTCGGGCTGCAGGTTGAAGAACTGCTGCACAGCAAAAGTGTCCAAGTGAATCCCAGTGTCTGTGAATCACTGCTTTCTCAAAGCTTGAAAAGTAGACCTAATAATAGAAGCCCCATTTCCACGCTTTGAAGCACAGGTGTGCTGGGAGTTGCTGGACAGGACGGTGGCGTGTCTCTCGTGCCCTCTG